TACAATGATTACCCACAGGCTTTGTTGGTTTTTAAGGATATATCTCAAGTTACCACCTGGGGGTTGAATATAATAAGTGCTCCTGAGTTATGGGATACAACTTTGCTTCAAAATAAGTCCTTATTTTTCCCCAGGTGAAACCAAACTGGCTTCTATTACTTGAAACCAAAAGGCATTCTAATCCACAGAGATCTCTCAAAGAGCTTCCCCTGAAGGCTCCATCCATTGCTGTCTCCACTTTAAATTTTAAAAAAAAAATTGCTTTCTACTATCTGGTATTTGAATTCTTGTCCTTAGGAACTATTTCAGAATTTGTCACCTGGCATCTGTAAAACTTGAGAACAAAGGACACCTTGGGCAACACAAGTCACATATCATTTTTGTAAAAGTGGAATGTTTGGCCTAATTTCTCAAAATACTTTCATTTTTATGGGTGGATACTTTCCTTGTGTTCCAGTTGCTCAATGTTTTCATGTAAACCTTGAAGATTGATAGGGATTTTATCCTCCTCATTGTTGCTCTTTAAGAGATGAGATGAGGTTTAATAAATACTTTGTTGTTGCTTTGACTTACTAAGCAAGTGTTGAAAGTCTATAAAGAAGGATTTCTGTGTTTGACAGGATGCCGAAGGATTTCCTCACAGTGCCACATTTGATCCTCATAACCAGCCACGGGCAAATACTGAGCAAAACCCTATAGCCCCATTTAAGGATTCTAGAAGATTTGACCTGGGAATGTGGCACTGGATTCTGAGTCCTTGAGGAATTAGAGCCAAGCCTATGCAGCCTCAAGGTACCCATCACTCTGCAGGAACTGACACTGTCTCAGGAGTGACAAGTTCATCTCCTCTCACACAGGAAACACAGACGGCAGCTGCCTGCAATACTGTCTTGAGAATTCGAAGACTGGATCTGCATTCTTTCTGAATTCGAGACAGGCACCACAGACCATAGTGTTTCCATCTGAACAATAAACACCCACTGAATTAAACTAAACTGGTAGGCTCAGAACTGAATGCCAATTCATTTGACTCTCTGTCTTAAACCCCGATCAGTACATTCACTCTCTTCTCTGATACCCTAAACCATGAGTCAATAACCTACATGCCAAAGACCAAACATGGCCTGCTACCTATTTCTGTAAATATTTGACTGGAATGTGATCATGCAGGTTTATTTATGTCGTTTACCAGCATCTTCATGCAATAAAGACACAACCCAGTAGTTATAGCAGAGATAGGGTTGAGCCAAAGAATAACATGTGTACTATCTGGTCAACCTCACACCTAAACAAAATCAAAGAAGTTCAGAATAACTTAAAGAAGATGAATCTAACCCAAGTTTTCCTTATCAATGGGGGGAACTGCCCAGCCTTGAGTTTTAGTGCCCAGATGGAATTTCATTTTCTGTCACTAAGGTCTCCATTCTAAGATAAAGCACTGGACATGGACTGGCACTTAGTAAAGGAGCAACTCGAGCATGAATTAAGGACTTCTGTCAGCGGGGCGGTGGTGGCGCACGCCTTTAATCCCAGCACTCGGGAGGCAGAGCCAGGTGGATTTCTGTGAGTTGGAGGCCAGCCTGAGCTACCAAGTAAGTTCCAGGAGAGGTGCAAAGCTACACAGAGAAACCCTGTCTCAAAAAACCAAAAAAAAAAAAAAAAAAGACTTCTGTTACTGTGCCTAAGGTGATTAATTCAGTGAATGGTAAGAAATACAATGTAAAGTAAGCAATAAGAGAAACTCCTGTTTACCCAGAGTGCAACCAATCTGAGAGATATAGCTTTCATTTCCCTTTTAGAGGGAAAACTCTATGCAAAGACTGGTTAATTAGTATAGCTATTAATGAGATAATCTGCACTCAGCATATCTTCTCAAAATAAAAGTAGTTGGTTGTCGTAATTAACTTTATCAACTTGGCATAGCATAGAGTTATCTGAGAGGAGAACCTCAATTGAACAATTCCCAAGTTCAAATTGACTTGTAGGGATGTCTGTAGGTGATTGTCTTGATTGTCAGACTAGTGTGTGTGGCCCCATTCCCTGAGCTGATGGTTCGGGGCGATATGCAAAAGATAACTAAGCATGAACTTGCAAGAGAGCCAGAAAGCTTGAGTTCCTGACTTCCCTCATGATGGACTATCACCTGAAAGCCACATTAACCTTTTCCTTTCCTAAGGTTCTTTTGGCCAGAGTGTTTTATCACAGCAACGGGATGGGGACTAGAACACTGATGTCAACAATGATGACATTAAAGTCCCATGAGTAATATAAGAAAGAGTTTTATGATCTTTGTGTGACTTTGAAAATAATGTCAACAAATGTTAATAAGCCAAACTACTTAAGCCCCACATAGAAGAACCCTGTATCAGTTTACCTTACATCTTTCTTTACTTTTACAATACTGTAAGAATTCGTCTAACAAATACAAAGAAAATATATTCAGGTTAGTCTCTTTTTGACCAATAAGATTTTGAGTGTGATACTATGTAATATGACACACAGATGATCATCAAATATTTCCATGGTAATTTAGATGAAGTCACCTACTTCAGTAGAACTTATAAGCCAGTTTTGCTCTCCTGATGGAAGGTGTGTCCTGGAAGGATACGATCTGGGTTGCTGAGCCCATGAAACTAAAGTAAATAACAGCAAGAGCAAGTGCTACAAGTTGATATTAACTGAGTGTGACACCAGAATTCAAACACTGTTGTCTTTTCTCGAAGATACTGGAAAGAATTGAATTCTTTGTTGTGACTGAGATTTGTAGGTGGCCAAAGGTACCAAGAAATGAAGATATGGTTTTAGAAATAATAAGCAGAATGTGTAAATTCATTTACACACTCTTAATCATTTATACAATCAATACAGATTTATGAAACCCTACATTTAGTATTTTTGGGGGTTGCCCTTCTTGTGTTTCCAAAGTTGGAACCACAGGAACTTGAAGTGCAATAACCAGATAGAAATCCAAGCATCCTTTTATTATTAGTAACTATTGAGAAAGTGTGACTTTACGTCTCCATGCAAAGCTTGATGTTTTTCTGAAGTAAACCTACAGTGACTTGTTCTCTGTCCCTTGTGGTCAGCCCCAGGTCCTCCTCACCGAGTCAGACTCTTAACCCTATGGCAGAAGGAAAAAGACTTGCTGGCTCTGAGAGGAAAGTGTCTACGATGAACATGATCAGATTATTTTAGCAGAACACTTGTCAGAAAAAAATCATTTTACTTCTCCTGGTGAAAAGTAAATATGAAGTAGAAAGAAGCAGGGTGTTATCCTGCAGAGATGGACACCCCTCCCTGAAAAAGGCAAACGGAATGAGTGCCACCCACCCCTTCACTGAAGGTGTGCCAGCAATGCTTTATGTACTAGGGATATAATGGTATGGAAACTAGACAAGAACTCAACTTCTGTGGCCCTTACAGTCTAGCAGGGAAGATGAGAGAAAACACTGAACATATAAACCTAAAACATAATATCAGACAGTGAGAGACACTGGGGGGAAATTACCTGAGAGATCACGTGTGATTGCTTGAAATTTGATGGTAAATAACTTCTCACATATCTGTGTGTGTGTGTGTGTGTGTGTGTGTGTGTGTGTGTGTGTGTGTGTGTGTGTGTGTGTGTCTTGCTCCTCTGAGTAAGCAGCACCATCTTCTTGCCTATGACTCCACAAAGGCCTAAGATTAATCTTGGCCAATCGAATGTGGCACGATGATACCTTAGTATTTTCTAACCAGGCCTCCTGAGAGAGGCCTTCTCTGTCCTGGAATCCAGACACACTGTGATAAGATCCAAGTCAAACTCTTCAGTAGGAAGCCACACAGAGGGACATCAAGCCAAACCCAACTTAGGCAGGCTTCTACCAGGTTCCAGATGAAACTGGCTGCTTGTGCAAAGAGAAGTAGGTCAATCACCCAGCTGAAACCAGTAAACCCACAGCAATGCCTGGTTTTAAATTATTGTATTTGGAGTGCTTGGTTCCATAGACATAGATCCCTGGCACATGGCATTTAGACTGGTGTCAGGGATGGTCTTCTCTAGAAGTGTTAGAACTCAATGAAGAGAGGGAACCAGACAAGAGATTCTAGTGGCCAACCATCTCAGGAAGAAAGAGTAAGCAAGGAAGGGCTTGTGTAAAATCATGCTTGGTGTGTGTGAAAGGCAGGAAGAAGCCCCCAGCCACTGAAATGTAATGAGAGAAGCTCCTGGAGATATCATGTTCCATGTCCCAGACGTCCTTGCAAGCCGAGGTGAGAACTTTGGATTTTCTCTTAGGCCAGTGAGAAGCCGATGGCAAGTTTTTAAGCATGGTGAAGTGACTTGGGTTTTTTAAATATTTTCCTGGTTACTTTGTAATGAACAGATTAGCGCTGTGTAAGAGTCCAGTTAGGAAGGCCAATCCTGGCACCCTGAAGAGGGAACACCAGCATCTTGGGAATTTAGAAGTAGTTAGATTGGGTATGTTGAACTTTTAAAGATTGTCCAGTTGTTTTCCAAAGCAGGTAAAGTTTTTTTATATTTACAACCCAATAAATAATTCAATCTCTGTTGAGAATTGGACTGTTGGTTATACTTGCATCTGAAGTTCCCGATTGTTTACTCAGATTTTCTATTTCCAGCATTCCCTCTCTTTGTGTCTTCTTCATTTTTTCTATTTCCCTTTTCAGGTCTTGGACTGTTTCCTTCATTTGTTTCATTGCTTTTTCGTGATTTTCTTTCAGTGCTTTATTGTTTTCTTCCAGGACTTTATTGTTTTCTTCTACTTTATTTGTCCTTTCCTCTAGTTTTTTATAGCGTTCTTCCCATTTTTTTTGTCTTTTCCTCTATACAAGCCTCTACCTTCTTCATAATGTTATTCATAAGGCTGTTTTCTTCTGCTTCTTCCAATTTTTGATGTTCAGGTCTAGATATTGGAGGAGGGCTAGGTTCTGGTGATGCTGTATTGCTCTTCATTTTGTTGTTTGTACTTCTGCCCATCTCCTTGTGGTTTGTTCTTGGTCTTATCAGTGCACTTGGTTCAGACAACGCTGACAGATCAGGGTGGAGCTCTGGGAGTCTAATTAGTAAGAAAGAGGAGGGTTTATATGAGTGAGAATTGTTGAAACCAAGGTTGGATAAAGCACAGGGACAAATAGCCAAACTAATGGAAGCACATGAACTATGAACCAATGGCTGAGGGGCCCCCAACTGGATCAGGCCCTCTGAATGGGTGAGACAGTTGATTGGCTTGATCTGTTTGGGAGGCATCTAGGCAGTGGTACCAGGTCCTGTGCTCATTGCATGAGTTGGCTGTTTGAAACCTGGAGCTTATGCAGGGATGCTTGGGAGGAGGGGACTGGACCTGCCTGGACTGAGTCTACCAGGTTGATCTCAGTCCTCGGGGGAGGCTTTGCCCTGGAGGAGATGGGAATGGGGGGGGGGCTGGGGGGAAGGGAGGGGGACGGGAGTGGGGAGAACAAGAGAATCCGTGGCTGATATGTAGAACTGAATTGTATTGTAAAATAAAATAAAAAAAAAATCAGTCTCTACATTCCCATCAGCACTTACTTTGACCCCTCTTTTTAGTTCTAGTCATTCCACGTAGGTGTGCCACGGCTTTTCCTTATGACTATAAATCACATTTTCTAGGTGGGGATTGGGGACCCATTCATATAATCTCAGCCAGCACTCATGAGGCTGAGAAGGAGGATCCTGAATTCAAAGCTACATAGTAAGATCATCTTCTCTAAAATTCGCATGTGCTTGGTGGTAGAATGCATGATCACATGCACAAAACCCTGATCACATCCCTAAAACCATAAGAGAGGAAAGGAAAGGAGAAGAGAGGAGGGGAGGGGAGGGAAGGGGAG